GAGTCAGAAGAGATACCAAAGGATCATCATATCCAGGTAGGAAAAGGACTGACGTCAAACTGTCCCAGTCAGGGGCCTATTTACCTCCTCTTGAAGACCTCTAAGTTAGGTGATAGTACCACCTCTCTTGGCAGCCTGTTCCAGATTCTGTCCACCCTTACTGTGAAGAATTTCTTCCTACTGTCTAACCTGAATCTACTCTCCACTAGTTTGTACCCATTATTTCTAGTTACTCCTAGGGGTGCCCTGGTAAATAGTGCACGTCCAACTCTCTATTGTCCTCTCTTGATAAACTTATAGACTGCTACAAGGTCTCTCCTCGGACGTCTCTTGTGAATGCTGAAGAGATCCAGATCTCTCAACCTCCCCTCGTAGGGTTTTGTACAGAGGCCCCTAATCATACGAGTGGCCCTCCTCTGGACCCTCTACAGATTCTCCACATCCCTCTTGAAATGCGGCAGCCAGAACTGGACACAGCACTCCAACTGCAGCCTGACTAGTGCTGTGTAGAGGGGAAGCATTTCCTCTCTCGATCTTTTGATCATGCATCTGCTAATACATGATAAGGTGCAATGGGCTTTGTTGATGGCTTTGTTACACTGTTGGCTCATGTTCATCTTGGAATGCCTCCAGCCACTGCTCATTTTCCCAGGTGTAATGGATGACATGCTGCCACCAGTCCTACTGGCCCAGCAAGCCCAGAGATGGCAGGGTTGCAGGCTCAGGAGGGTGAGAGCAGCCCTGGAGGTGGCATCCAGCATCCCATTGTTGGTGTCCATGCCAGGGTCTGGCCAGGCGGACAGGGCAGCATGTGTGCGGTGGCGGTCCTGAGACAGCATGTGGCAGCCTGGCAGGTGGTTGCTGTGTATGGATGAGCTGGGAGGGGCAAGACGGCCATGGACCAGGTGACGGTCAGAACAACAGGCCATCAGGGTCAGTGCAGCTGTCAGCAGGAGCCCAGGGCACTGGTCATTGCTGCCAGAGGCAGGGGCTGGAACAACCATAGCGCAGAGAGGCACAGACAGCAAAGAGAGCTCTGCCTAATGCTCTCCCTGTGCTGGACATGCTGCTTCTTGCCAGGGAACTGGCTGGCCAGAGAACAGCAAGCGGGGCTGCCTTTTAAAGAGGGTTCCCAGCTGCTGCAGCCAGATCCTGGAGCTCCACCCAGTGGTGGCAGGGGCCTATTGCAGGGCCCCAGGAAGCAGGAACAGAGTGTTAGCAAATCTGCTCCAAGTTCCCTGCACATGTAGATGTTTGCCTGGCATCATTTACTTGTGAGTAATTTACCCACGAGTAAATTGGTGCCACAGCAAATGCACGTTTAGATGTGCCCAGAGGTTAAGAAGAAGAAAAAAATGAGGATTCACTTTATCTTGGAAAGAAGATGTTTCACTAGTGCTTCTCAAAGAATAGGTGCTTTTGTATCATCAGATGATGCTGCATAGATCAAAGGCAATATTGAATGGAAAGCATCGTTCTTTCTGTTTAGAAACAGTTATTGAAGGAAGTAGCATGTTTACCTGCAAAGATTTATATTTTGCTATGGTCAAACTATTAGCGCGCACACAGAGGGAATTAGAGTTATGTTTTGATCAGACAAAATCTGGAGAGAAGGCCTTGCCTCTACCTTTTTCTGATAAGTTGAACCACTGGCTCAGGTTGTGCCCTTCAGCTTCCACTTGAAAGTATAATAATTGCTATTTCCACCACCACTCCTACTTCACAATAACTGGAAAAATACCCCTTCTTCTGCTGGTAGAGGGTGCATGAAAGGAATATCCTCCTTTCCCCCACCCATACCTCAATAGCTGCTAGAGACAGGAATACTTTGATTTCAGGATGCTTCATTAAATTATAGGATTGTGACTCTCTCTAAGTAATTGGAGGGAAAATAAATCAAGGTCTAGCATATTTCCTGAGAATGTATTGACCTAATGAGAAGCCATTCAGAGCCATTAAATTCAATTGGTCATTAAATCACATGCTAATGCCCGGGGCAGATTTGTCATATATACAAAAATTAATTTTAGTTAAAGTTTTGAGAGCTAATTAAAGCTTTTGCATTTCTCCCTTGGTGCTATTCATAGATTCATAGATTCATAGATGTTAGGGTTGGAAGGGACCTCAATAGATCATTGAGTCCGACCCCCTGCATAGGCAGGAAAGA